AGGCTGCCGCACAAACTGCCTGGCAAGGCGGGAAAGCAGCACTTATGCTTCCTACTGCGGGAGGAGGCTGGAAGGGAATCGGAGGAAGCGCCCCAACTAGAACACAGGCCTCCTTGCTACTGCGGCCGGAAGAAGCTGGAGGCTGCCGCCGCCTTGGGCGCAGAGTGGGCCTGTGTAGCTGTCTGCGGCACTCTCCACCTTCGCATCTCTGGCTGCCCTCCGGGCCACCTCTGGCCTTCCCTGTGCTCAGTCTCCGATGCCTACTTGAAATGGACAGATGGGGTGAGCCGGGAGACTCCCCGAGCCTTCACCCGGAGTCCCCGCACTGCGCAGGAAACCCCAGTGCGCATCCCACTGAGCATCCCCAGTTCTGCGCAGGAGGAGGTCACCTGCGGCTTCAGTCTGGCTTCAGTCCATCCAGGTCAGATCCAAGAAGTGCTTTGAAGATTCCCAAAGAGGCTTGGCCTGTAATCCCAGCCCTGGGAAGGCTGCAGCAGGAGGATCTCTGTTCCAGGCCAACCAGGGCTCTAAAGTAGGTTCAAGGACACCTTGAACTACATAGCAAGACCCCATCTGAAAAAAGCGGGAAACAAACAAAAAAAAAGGACTCCAAATGGGGACCCAAGTGAGGGCCCAGCAGCAGCTTCTGCTTCCCACAGAGCTGCCTTTTCATCCCATAACCGCCACCCGCTCCCCTGCTCTGCAGGCCTGGCTAGAGGCTCATCTTCATTGCACTGTGGACCCAGAACTCTGCTTTGTCTAAACTCAGAAGCCAGCTGTGTGGCAGTGAGACCTGGGGCAGCTCCTCTGCCGAAGCAGCAGCGAACCTCAAAGGCCTGCTCGTGCCTGCCAGGGAGCTTCAAGTCTTGGGGACTTTGGGCACTGCCAAGCCAGAGCACCTTCAGATACCTCCTTGGGGCCTGCCCAAATACCCTGGAACCTCCCAGGAAAGGGGCACTGCTGGAAAGGGGTGAGAGAAGACAGAGGGGTGGGAAAGCACCACACACCGAGCCGCCCACCCAGGCTGGGAGCAGCGCGCGCAGTGCGGCGTCCCTGCTGCTGGCCAGAGCTCTTTTCACATTGTGCTACTGTCTGCACCCGTCACGAGCAGTGCAATGTTAAAAGGGCATTGGCCGGGCAGTGCTACCCAGCGCCGCTGCCTTCTGGATGCTGCTGCTTCCTGTTCCATCTGGACAACCCTCAGCCACCCCAGGGGTGCTTGGGGAATCCCGGCCCTGGGCTCCTAGCTCCCCTGGGCAGAGCATGGAGTGCCTTGTGTGTGTGGTGCACGTGCTCGACACGCATGACTAAGCACCCTCTGACCTGGCAGGGACACCCCCATGGGGCAAATGGGAAGACTGAGGCTCAGCCAGGGATGGAGCTCTGGTACCTGGAGCCCAAGGCCACCTGCATGCTCGCCTGTGTCTCTGCAGACTACTGAGCTCATCTCTTGGGGCAAGGGCTCCACAAGTCCCCAGAGAAGACCCATGTGGCCCCGGGACATTGGGGACTCTTCACCCACCACCCACCCCACTCAATCTCTCTCTCTCAGGACTGCCTCTGACCCAAAGGGTCACTGACCGTGACGCTTCCTGTAGCACACCTGTCTGGATGTGCGCAGCGCTGCTCGGGACTTGATCCTGGGAATGAAATATAAATAGCCTTTCTGGAGCTGCTGTGGTGGCGCACACCTGTGACCCCAGCAGAGGGGAGCCCAAGGCAGGAAGATCCCCTGAGTTCGAGGCCAGCCCGGACTACAGAGTGAGGCACTGTCTCAAAACGAGAGAGGCCAGGGCGCCTGAAGGATTCTTCCAGGCAAGATTCTAAGGAGCTTGAGGGAATGACTGCTTCTCCCTCCCAGTACCTAGGAGGCTTTGTCATACCTTGTTACAGTAATTTAGGAGGTGTTTCTGTGAGCCATTATGAAGCCCTCCATTGGAGTCCAAGTGCTCTGGAGAGCTGAGGCAGAGGATCAAAATTTTGAGCTCAGCCTGGGCAACTTGTGACTTAAGTAAGACCTTGACTTGGAGTGTTAAAACCGTAAAAGCAGGCGAAAGGAAAGTGCCAGAGACGGGAGTCCCAAGTGGCATGGCCCGGCAAGACTATAATTTTAAAATGAAGCATTTTAGAAAGAGCTGGGATTGTAGTTCAATTTAAAAGCCCTAGGTTCAATCACCAGCACTGAAAAGAGGGGGGGGGGAACCCACCCTAGTTTGTGAACAGGTACGATGGTGACACATTTAATCCTAGTCCAGTAGGCTGATTCAGGAGTATCACAAATTCCAGGGCAGCCTGGGCAACCTGTGATTTACCAAGACTCTCCCTCAAACAGGTAAAATAAAACCCAGTCACTAATTTGTGTTTAGTTTAAAAATAGAGTTTTGTTTTTTTGAGACAGTCTTACTGTGGTCCAGGCTGGCCTCAAATTTGGTAATCCTTGGGGGCCCCGGGAGATGGCTCAGTAGAGTAAGTGCTTGCC